CATGACAGCGTGTTATAGAGATTCGCATCCCTTCTCCCCAGATACATTGTATGAACAAAGCCATACCTCACTTCTGGAACAGCTCTATGGTGTTCCCACTGCATGCCCCACCTGGAGATCTTACCCGGTGGATCTCTCTCAGTTCACTTACTTTTCCTCAACCCTGCTGTGGCAGACCTCCCATAACAGCTTCTCATGTCTCTATGTGCTTCATAACACTTGCCACAGTTGATAAAATTGAATCATCGCTTGGGTAACGTCTTCCCCTCTCCCGGACTGGGAGGTCTGGGAGTACATAAACTATGCACACATTTGTCCATTGCCATTTTCCCACCACAGAACTGGGCTCAATAAGTATTTGCTAAGTCCTCGAATGAATGGATATCTCCTCAATACCTTGCTCCACACTGTAGGATTTAGTCTCCAAGGGCATGAGTAAGACTTCCACGGAGTCCAGGCAGCTCAGGACCACAGCATTGGTCAGGTATCCTCCTAAAAATCTGAGGCCTTGAGAAGGGGCAGGACTTCTGAGGATCATGTCTCGTTGGTCTTTCTGCCTTGCAGGAAGTGGCCATTCATTTGTCTTTACATTCCTTTTCCTTTACCTGCCTCCACCCAGAAGATACCATTTCTGACCTCTGCCTTTGTGGCCTCACTTCACCCAGCACTTAACATAAGGCCCTCAGACTCCATCTGGGCTCCTGATCTATTCATTTCCTGGGGATGCCACAACAAATTACCACGAACTGGGTGGCTTAAGTCAATAGAAGTTTATTCTCTCACAGTTCTGGAGGCCAGAAGTCCAAAATCAAAATGTTACCAGGGTGTGCTCCCTCTGAAGCCTCTAGGGGCACACCCCTCCTTGCCTCTTCCAGCTTCTGGTGGCTCAGAAGTTCCTTGGCTTGTGGCTGTATCACACGAATCTCTGCCTGCATCTTCACCTGCCCTTCTCCTCGGTATCTGCCCTTCTGTTTCTTATCAAAATAACTGTCATTGGCTGTAGGGTCTACCCAGGTAATCCAGGGCAGATTGGGAGGTCTACCCAGGTAATCCAAGCAGGCTTGGCACTGAAGCCTCCCTGAATGCTGATGACTCTTGCAGGCCCTGGAACCACCACAATAGCTCCCCTAATCTGTAACTTAATAATATCTTTAAGGTCCCTTTTTCCAAATAAGGTCACATTCACAGGATCCAGGTAGTAGGACATGAATGCAATTTGGTGGGGTTGGGGGGCGCCATTTAATCCACTACATTTGACATTCCCCCACACCCTCAAAGGCTTCTGGACCCATGTAAATCTGTCACTCAGTTTTGAATCTCCAGCCCGGGTCTCCTCCAGACCCACATCGTCACAGCCTTTTTTTTTTGTAGCCTCTTTATAAGTGAACTCATTATCTCATGGGGGGTCCCCCAGGTTCCCCCACATTTTTCTCTCTCCTGACAAATACCAAATGCCTTGACCACTCTATGACCCAGACAGCCGAAGCTTTTTTCCTATAGGCTTGAGCCCAAGCTGGGGCCTTAAACATTCCCAGGCACTGATAAAGGTGTTTAGATTGTTGCCCAAAACACCGAAAGAAACTAGCCCCGACCCTGAGCCAAATTCCTTAAAATCTCATATAAATTCCATATCCAGACTCCCCTTGCAGCAGGCATACCTAGATAGAACATCCCTGTCTCGCCGTCTGCCTGGAGGATGTACTACAGCCCCCTCAGAGACTGAGAAATGTCCCTAATAAATGCTTTTTACTGATCACCCTCGCATTTAGTGCTACTTTCTTCAGAATCCCAACCATTTCAGGATCGTTTGGGGTAGTCCCGTGTGGGGACTCCCCTGCCACTGCTTTCAGGGCATCTCCAGTTGCAGATTCAGCCAGGATGAAACACGTCCCCCCATACCACACCCCATACCACCTAAACTGTTCTGCTCCAACATTTCCTACATCTCAGCAAATATCACCATCTCCCAGTGACTTCCCTTTTCTTTCCCACTGCATGCCCCACCTGGAGATCTTACCCGGTGGATCTCTCTCAGTTCACTTACTTTTCCTCAACCCTGCTGTGGCAGACCAAATTCAGGACACCACCATCTCTCACTTGGACAAACCATCCTAGCCCACTCTTCTACTCAGCTCCTTCTATCCTTACTCCATTCCACAGGCAGAATGACATTGTAACCATGTGATTCCCATCATGTTATTTCCATGCAGAACCTCTCAAAGGTATTCCATGGACCGAAGCATAGACACAAATCCTGCCAATGCTGCCAATCCCCTTATCCAGCCCTGATGGTCTCTCTTCTTATGTGCAGCCTTAAACTTGATGCTGCAACCACTCCAGGCACTTTTTAGTTCCCTGGCCTTTGAATGTGTTATTCCTCCTGCCTAGAACACTCTCTTCCCAAAAGGTTGTGTTTTTTTTTTTTTTTTTTTTAATGAGATGGAGTCTCGCTCTGTTGCCCAGGCTGGAGTGCAGTGGTGTGATCTCGGCTCACTGCAAGCTCCGCCTCCCAGTTCACACCATTCTCCTGCCTCAGCCTCCTGAGTAGCTGGGGCTACAGGTGCCCACCACCATGCCCAGCTAATTTTTTGTATTTTTAGTAGAGACGGGGTTTCACCATGTTAGCCAGGATGGTCTCAACCTCCTGACCTCATGATCCTCCTGCC